TGGTTAAACAAGGGCAATCTCAGCAGCCTGGCAGACATTAAAAAAATGTCCGACCCAGCTTTACAATGCATTTCTTAAGCTAGTTCTGATTTCGCTGAACATCATATCTTTCTCTTGAGGTTTTTGATTTTACAAAAAAAAAAAAAAAAAAAAATCCTCTTTTTTTCATCCTTAACAGAAAACATTTACTGGAATATGTAACTGCTCAGACTACACTCTCTGTGCTGCCATGTACCAACAGAGCTATAGTGAAGGGAAGGAAAGTTCAGTTCATGGTCTGTAAAAAAAGGGTGGCCCGCGGTCCAAACATAGGCCGCAGGCTGCCATTTGGGGACCACTGATATTATGACTTGACAAATTCCTTGAACTGAGACAAAAGACGGGGCATGGAATCTCAGATATTTCCTTTTTATTTTGGTTATGACTGTAGGACACTCTTCAGGTACGACCTACTGCGTTTCATTCTTTCATTTGCACCAAAATGTTCCATTTACTATGTATGCAATGGCTTTGAAAGACAAATGCTGCTCAATGGAAACTGCTCTGTACATGCAGTGGTCTATAAGCCTGATTTCCATCCAACATCACCGCCCCTGCTTCACAAAAATTGCATAATACATGTTTGATGTCATGATTGTAGCCTTTGCCTGTGGCTGCAACGTTGACACTGATAAAGAGCTGTAAGTTATTTTAAAACTGTTGGAAAAGCAACTGTCAATAAGGATTTCCATAAACCATGTTTTTAAAACTATGAAACAGTTGGCTTTTTTTTTATTTAAAAAAGTAACTTTTAATTTAATAAAAGTAACATTAGATTTTTCTTACTATGACAGTTTGTTTTATCAGAGTGTAAAAAGAACAGTTGGGTAAGTGAAATATTTTATTAAAAATGATAAAGATCTGAACAAAAAGAACTCTTTCTTTCCACTCACTGTCAGCACAGCCGTCTCTCACTGTAGATGTGGAGGGTTCTCCAACTGGCTGTTCTACACCTCACTTCCTGATGTCTCTCAGGGTCAATAATTTCCTCTAGCAGCTCCCATGAGGCCTTGCTTCCTCTGTTAAAGGTCACATTAAGGCGGGAAAGATGTCACAATTAGAAGGGCATTTAAAGCTGCTCTTTTAAAAAGATTAAAAAGCACTGTTGGCCACATCAAGCGGTCAGGCGAATAAAGGAAATAAAATAATTACATTAAAACTTCATTCCTTTCTGGAAAGGCTCTGGTATCAGGGAGGTATTGAGTTAAGTCATTTAAGACGAGCTGCCCATGATCGCAAATCAGCCATGAAAGCGCCAAATTAATAAAGAGCTTCATTTTTTGCTGTCTCTCACTTTCTCTCGCTTTTGGCCCTTCAAATGTGTGTGTTTAGGAGGGGTGGAATTTGAGACTAGCCTAACACAATTTCTCTTCATGTCTATCAGTGTTTTATTATATCAGGGGCACTTCTCCTCAAATGTACAGGCAGGGGCAATTTGGAATGAATTGATTCACACTGAGACTGAATCCTTTACTTGCTAATGATTTCCTTTTAGCCCCTTCATCGTACCCCAGCTCCCTCCTTGTAGGCCCATTATGGCGTCTTTAGTCATTGTTGTAGAGAAAATGTGTCCATCTACATTTCTTTGAAGCGAAAAATGAAAAAGACTTAAAACAAGTTACTTAACGGGAGGCCATTTATATTTGTATAATAAAATGGGGAGCCACTGTGACGCAGTACTTTGGATTTGTCTTAATGAATGACAGTTGGCAGAAAAAATGTGTAGATCGACTCTAAGTAAAGAGAAATGTTATAAAGGACATGCTTAACTATTCTGTGCATATGCAGTGTAGAGCAACTGATTTAAACGGTGCCAAAAGTCAAGAATCAATCAGTGAACCTGAAAAAAAGTCACAGTTGTCTGACATAAAAAGCTAAAAACTAACAATTTCAAGTGCTGGAATTCTAATGTCGTTTTTCTGTTTATTCCATCCATTGAGAACAGCGTACAGAGTACCCACTTCCTGAAACCTCACACTGCATACCTGTAAAAAAAAAAAACATCCATTGGTTAAGTGATGTTACCAGTTTAGTCAAAAATATACAACTGGTTACATTCATTTTCCCAGGCGTCCTTCCATGTGGTTCGAACATTATTAGATTCCATCTTCATTTCTCCCAGTTCAAGGTATCTTCGGTGTAATTTCCAGCGCAAACTCTTGTCCAATCCAAACTCAATAACACTGCTGTAATCGTGTCCTTTCTTCAACTGCACCACCTTAAAGTGTGTTGGTTAATGTTATCTCTGCCTCTGATTAAGTTTTCACCTCTTCTTCAGCTTTACCTGACACTCTTTTGGTTATCTGGTTAGCAAAGATTATTGTCCTTAACTCAGAGCACTCTGGTACATTAGCAGTCAAAGGATGATGGCATATCGCAACATTTTAGCTAAATGTACCAAAAATGTTTCAGCCACATTTGTAAAAGAAAATACATTATTTTCTTATGTAGTGATATACAGTATGGTGTCATCTCAGTTGTGCCTTGCATGGTTATCCATCTCAGCTCTAAAAGCCAGGTTACGTGCTACCCAACGCTATAACTGGGCAGATCCATAAGTCAATAAGAAGACAAGACTGAAATCTGTGCAATGTGGTTATAATTGATTGAGATGTCTGGCTGGAACTTGTGTAAAGCATCTATGTCATCTGCTAAGAAGTGCACTTTTCCTCTCTATGAAGATCTACCACTACAGTTTTAACCAAATGGACGTTTACCTCATTAGTTTGCCGCTGAGCTAGCTGCGGTTCTCACTAAGATGTCATACTTAGGCCTATTAACATTGACACAATTTTCCTGTCAATATTGTGCTACTGTAATTTTGAGGGGAATGTAAACACGCTTTGTCCATTCAGCATATTCTTCCTCTATTAGGTCATTTGCCTTTCACCGGGGCCTACATCATTGGTCTTTTAAGCAGGATTAGTATCAGAATATTAGATTTTATCGTGTTCATTATCTCAGGTTTCGGCCTTTGCACCACAAATTGTCTTGTAGCCTCTCCCTTAACATTAACAGAAAGACCTTTGAGTAGAGCAGGGGCATTTTGGCATCTTATCAGTAGGATATTTTACCCTGTGTTTTGACCATAATCTGTTGAACTGGAACATTGGTTTGTAGTTCATGCTAATGGTTTAATCGACTTCGTCATATGAGGGTGCTGGGTGACTGACTTCAATAAGCCCTCAACATATACGGTTCCAGAAAGATCTCTATGTGGTGTGTAAACCTTATGTTGGAATATTTTGGTGTCAGGGTCAAGAGTATTTAAATGGATTGTGGAATTATGTCCTGGAATAATCCAAGTACAGTTGTAAAAAAATAACCACTACATTTTCACAGATGGTCATTGCATCCATTATGTTTTAATACATTTGCATGATTTGAAAAGGTGAGAAGTGGTGGTATAAAATGAAACCAAAATATTATTAAACACTACCACAAAATCGATTAAATTTGCACAAATATGAAAGAAAGGTTAAATGTTTGCTGGATATATAATAATTGGTTAAAACTGTTTAAAATCTGCTGCCCCAAAAGTAGGTAAAATCTTTCAAAATATATCACCAACGTATACCCCAAAATAAAAACTGCACTAAGTAAGTTGTTAAGTTAGCTGAAGTTGTAAAAAAAAAAAAAAAAAGAAGCAACATTTGGTTAGCACAGGAAAAACATGGCTGACAAATAATGAATAAATAAATTAAAGTTTTCAAATGCCAAAAAAAGCCTTTTCCTACAAACTATTAAAGCAAAATATACCAACACAAAACTGAAGTCTTCCAATGGATCAGCAAAAATATGCCATAAATCCATAAGGCATATGTTACTGTGCAATTAGAATTTTCCCAGTTTTAACCTGGTAAAAGTTGTAAAAAGCTACATTCTAAATCATGTGACATGGTTCTCCACTGTAGGCTGTGTTTGTCGCAGAAATCTAACTCTTTTAACGGCTTCCCTGCCACACTCACCTCCATGGACAAGTTTAAACTGCAATTCTTTTGGATTGAAAACCAGTTCATAGCGTATGCAATGCATTACCCAAAACGAATTACTACTGGCAGGGCGCTCAATCATTTTGTATCTTTCAACACTAAGAGAAAAGAAGAGTAATCAAAACCTTTCAACCTATTAGAGGGATGACTTTTACAATTGAATCACTAGGACCACAGGTGCGATAATAAGTCATCTAA